TAGACCAAAGATGCTTGTCAACGTTAATTCCTATGAAAGGATAGCACCAGCCCTAGCTTGAGTTTTACGCGCACGCAAGCTTTAGAAGACTTGAGTGTTCAAGCGACTAGAGCCATACTTATATATATATATATATATATATATATATATATATATATATATATACAATAAAATCTAAAATTACCTCATATGAGGAAGAAGCTTATTTCGACTGACGAAAATATATAATTTGACAGTCTTATCAACCCCGGTATAGACTGAGTTCGTGTCGGAAATAGAAATTTAACTGTGAAAGCTACACACACAAAAAACAAACATCGAAAAACTAATACAGAATTTATCTATCTCAATGTTTCAGTCAGAAGAAAAGCACGAGTTAGTGTTCTGTATGGATTACTATATATATATATATATATATATATATATATATATATATATATATATATAGGAGGAAGGTCGAAGAGTTTTCGGCAGAATCAAGAAGTTTGTAACAACCGAAAATAAACAGAATTTAACATAAATAGCGATTGCAAAAATGTAGACAACGATGTACACTACAGTTCAAAAGTTTGAAGCTGCCCCCAGAATGAGCATTAAATGAATTTGATAGAAGAGTGAAAAAAAAAAAAAAAAAAAAAGTGTTATACCGGAACACACATATTCTATTGTTAATAGACTCTCCCACTTATAATAAGTAGTAGTAGTAGTAGTAGCAGTCGCCAGGTGAGCTCAGTTAGTTGTGTGAGTCAGTCGTATGTCGGACATTAAAGTATGAGCCCCACAACTAGATTGTTGCGTCATTAATTATTATTTCAAGTTCCTAACGTTTTGTACGTCGAACCTAATTTAGGACCGACTTAGTGAAATACAAGCCTCCACTGTGAAAACTACTCTCCAGCAATAAGAAAAAACCTCTTAGCGTAATTATAAAAAGAATGGAATCAATTTTGAAACTTATACTGTGATAAACTTTTGCAAAAAGTCTGTGCTGCAGTAATCAACGCCAAAGGAAGATATTTTGAGCCAAATTTAATCATAAAATGTTTTTTTTCTTTTTGCTATAATAAAATTTTCTAATAAAATAAGATGTCTTACTGTTTTTAACCATGCATAATAATTTTCTCTCATTAAAAGCACAAAGCAATTACTTATTTGGCGAATTTAAAAAATGACAAGGAGAAACCTCAATTTTTTTAACTGTAGTGTATATATCAGCACAATAGCTCCAAGAAAAAAAAAAACTGCCCCAAACAACATAAGAATTAATTTGCATACGGGGAAAAAATAACCCACGTGACAAAAAAATGGAGATTTTCTCACCAATTCTTGTTAGCTCGAGGTATTTTGAAAAATCTTCGAGTTTAGACACTTAAGAAAAAAAAAATCGACAAGAAAATCAACATCAGCACTTTCAATTTCAGTTCGAAGACAAAATTCTCTTCTTTCTTGTGCCGTGTCCCCTCAGGACATAGATGATCGTGGCTCTCCACAACTTCCTGTCTCTTGTGGCACTTAATAAATTTTGTCGTTTTGTTATTTCTTCTAAACCTTGTTCTACCATCCATTTACTCAAGCTCACTTAGTATGTTATGCATTGTTTTCCCCTGACACCCTTCCCTGTGAGTATCAGATTTTCCAAGCCCTCTTTTCTCATTATGTGCTCTATAAACCTCAAATGTCTCCTCCTGATGTTAAGTATAATTTTCCTTTTTGTTTCTATTTTTTATAAAATTTTGTCGATGTTCACATGCTCGATCCATGGTATTCTCAGCATCCTCCTGTAGAACCACATTTCTGTTACGTTTGCCAAAAAACCTTACTTCCCAAGGAAATAAGAACGGACACAAAATGAAAAAGAATTGTAGAAAACAACATGGCATTTTTATATCCCGTCAAATTATTTCTTAACGTTTATATGCCATGTTCCCTTAGAAAGCTAACGATTATATATCTTCACGATTTACTGTCTTTTATTTGCAAGCAACATTTGTCCCTTTGCAATCTCGATTTTTACTTTTTATTCAATCAGGCGATAAAGCCACTAAGAAGCAAGAAGTTACTGACTATATTTCTGAGATGAGGTATTATGTACACTATTTACATTATTCGGACTATTGTCCTCATTTTTGTCGCCATATTCATTACAACGTTTCGGTCGTTTTACGCTCCGGCCTTCTTCAGGTGGTTGGAATGTCAAACTGAACCATTTATTTCGCTCACTAGGGTAGACTGTTTAAATAGATCTTGTTCCATTAATTTCTTCAATATTTTTTCCCCAACTATTGGGAATAGATGGACTGGCACTTTTCGTGCTTGAAATTATGACGGGGGGGATTTCCCTTTTTGTCTTTTCTTCATTGTTTTTTTTTTAACATTTCACTTTCTTTTGCCTCGATTTTGTTTACTAATTTTGTCGAATTCATGTTCAATACATCAAACTTGGACTCAAAATATGTGAGCGTCACAGATGCAGATGTGGAGCCTCCATCGATGAGTTTGGTTTGCATCCTCTCTCCTGTCGTCGTAGTGCCGGCCGCTTTCCACGGCATGCAGCAATAAACGACATCACCAGAAGAGGTTTGGATGCAGCTGGGTTCCCTTCCCAAATCGAACCCGTAGACCTCGACCGCGGTGATGGAAAGCGGCCGGATGGAATTACCATTTTCCCTTTTAAAATGGCGAAGTCGTTGATTTGGGATGTGACCTGTGCGGATACATTTTCGACCGGTAATTTAATCACTTCCGCGGTTGAGCCAGGATCCGTCGCCCGGGACGCAGAGATGAAAAAAATAGTTAAATATTCTTCTCTTGCTGATTCATTTTTTTTTTTTTTTTTACTCCTGTGGCAGTGGAGACTTCAGGGGTTATTGGCCCTCGTTCGATGGCGTTCCTTCGGAGGATTGGTGCGATTGCATCTCGATTAAGGGACGAGCCTCGCGAAACGGAGTGGCTCTTGCAGCGTTTCTCACTGGCAATGGTTCGAGGTAATGCTTTCTCCATCATTGCGGCTGTCAGAGGATAGAAAAAAAAATTGTTTATTGTTACGTTGTTCTGGAATTGTCATCAGTGGTCAACTGTAATTGTTTTGTTTCAATAAATTTTAAGTTTTATTTATACATCATTTCCTATTGGACCGTGATTCTTTTCACAGTTTGTTACGATAATTGGTAATACGTCAAACTTATTTTTTCGTTCCACGTAGGCTTCAAAATAGCCTAACGTTTTTATCACGGATCCATCGAACTGATTCAAATGGACAATGTTTTTCTTTCTTTTTGGTTTTTGTAATTTGTTCCAGAAATTTATTGTTATCAACGTCACGTCACTTCCTGTATATAGTTGCATGTCCAATAAAAAACATTATTGCTCTGAATTTTTAAAAACTTTTTTACATTCGTTTTTTTTTTTTTTTTTTTTCAATGAAAAAGACGTACATACTTATTGCCTCTTCATTTTGTTGGACCGTCTCTACGTTTTTCGTTTGGGATTTTGAAACATTTTGAAACACTTCACACATTTTTTTTTTTATATGGCAGACATTTTTGTTTTTCTCTTTGGTGTTAATATCCACAAAATAGTACAAATTATTCTGTCTTTTTTCTTTATCGGGTATGAGTTCATTTATTCTACCGGAGCCGTAACTTTTGTTCTATTAAATTTTCGAATTAATTCTTGTTGCTGAACAAATTTGGCACATTTATTCTACTGACAACTTTCCCATTTGTAAATGCATGAGAGTCATTTGCCGATACTCCTCATTTTGAAGGCCGTTTATGAACTTCAAATCCTTTACGAGTGACTGGTTTTTCGATCCCAGTTTATCAAATTCACAATATTTAGCGGCCTGTTTTAAATGAAGAAAATATATAATAACTGGTTCATTCACTTTCTGAGAAATATTCATGAAATTAGCTTTCTCTGCATTCACTAATTTTTTTTTTTGTGGGGGTGCTATGTTTTTCACTATTAGTTGACTTATATCGTCAAATGGTCATTTCCCCTAACAGTCTTGTGTAAGCAAGTGCTTATAATTTTATAATGGCCTCACAGCTAGCAGCTGCCAAGAAGATATCATTTATTTAGTTTTCTCCTCCTACTGTTTTTAAATCCTTCGGCTTTTTTGTTCCAGCTTTAGCTGCTAGTAGCCGAAACCATGCTTGTGCGTATTCATAATTATCAAGTGATAATTGCTCGTTCGGCTCTTTAGATATCGACGACACAATTATAGTTTAGTGTAGTATAGTGTTACTGATTCAGAGAAAGTATTATGCACTCAATTGCCTCATGGGTAATAGTCGTAGCTATTTATAGTTTTGTGATTTCCTATGTAAATGAGTTACCTCATTTTATATACACCGTTCTCTAACTTCCATAACCCAGCCGTCAAGTTTCAAATTAATATTAGCTCAGGTCTAGTGGGGGGGGGGGCATCCCTCCACTCAGTACCTGTCCTTTAAGGGTGGGTGTTAGAGTCATTACCCGTCGCATAAGTCCTCTGATGGTCCTTAGCCCATATTAAATCTTTCTATTTCTGCTTAAAAGATAGAAGTGGCTTTGAAATCGTTTTGGTTGATTTTGTTTAGCGGCATATCAACACCTCTATGGGTTATTTAAAGCCTAAATCTCAATGTTTTTAGCGCAGTTGTATGTCTTCAACTACAGATAAAATCTTTTGTTGGTTATTTTTCTATAAATAAGTATTTTTATAGTGTTTTATTTGCCCATAGCTAAGACCCTAAAAAGTGCTACCACACCGGGTGGCTATGGAAACAGCAGCAATTAAGCTGTGGTTCTACACTTAGGAAAACCTCCAGTATCTCGAATGTGGTATATTGCCATACGCAGGACTGTCGAAATAGGTATCCTACCGTCATATTCGAGTTAAATGGAATTTCGGCAGTATTGTAAATCGAGAAAGAACCACGGAAGCATTCTTCCAGGCTCTGGAAACTTTCCTAACAATTGGCAACTCAATTGGAGATAAGGATTCTATTCAGCTGATGTTCATCTCCAGCTGGTCTCTTGACTCTGGAGTCGCAGAACCAGTTGGTCTTGTTATATTCGACAAAGGAGACTGACAGCATCCAAACCTCAACAACGAGTTCCTTTTGAGTTCTGCCTACTTCCTAAAAAGTGTGAATGACGGCTTTGGTGATAGCGGGTGACAATGGTGATTTACTAAGCGATAGGGAACAAGGCTGAATGTATTAAGCACCCAGTGTAAATCGAACTTATTACTCAGTCGTAATCGATCTAGCAAGACAAGAATGCTAATCGAACATCTCTTGGGCGATAATCGCGATTTACTAAGCGTGGCTTTGATGTGGCATCCACTGAGGATCGAAGCCACTAGCCAATCGTAATTGATCTATCGAGACAAGCACGTTAACAGTTACACCACGCTCAAAGAACTCTTGGATAACAATAGTGATTTAGTAAGCGTATCTTCGATGTGGCACAAGGCTGGAAGTATGGATCACTCAGTGAGGATCGAACTCACTATCAGTCGTAATTGATCTATCGAGAAAAGCTTGTTAACCATTACACCCCGTCGAAATGCACCCCCTATCTCCCTAGGTGTCAATATGTTGACTGCCAGAATTTCTTATCTTTTTGTATCAATCCTTTGACACTGAGAAATCTCAGGAAACGACCTCACATGTAAATGATTAAATAAATTTAAGTTTTCCGGGTGGAAATGCCAGATTATGTATATATATATATAAAATAATATACGGCTAAGAATAAACTATCTAATGTTAAATACCGTATATTTCCACTCATAATGCGATCTCGAGATAAGATTAAACTTAGAATTTAGGTAAGTTTTTGTGATTTTATCTGACATCATCTGAATCCATACACTGATGTTCTCAAGGACACATGGCCCAGTGGATAAAAGCGTTGGTGGGATCTAGTGACTTGACCCCAGACTATTTACACTATTTACATTATTTACGTTCTCCTCATAGTTATAATACATCATCACAGATCCTGACGAAGACCGGGGTGTAAAACGGCCGAAACGTCGTGTATATGGTAACAAAGATGAGGACAATAGTTCTAACAATGTAAATATTTACAGTGGATAAAAGCGTTAGATCCAGTGACAGGACCAAAAGAGTGTGCGTTCAATACGCGGTTAAGGCAGAGCAGAACTTGGAGAGGGGAATTAACAGGAGATAACTGATAACTGACATCCATTAAACATGGCACGTGGAACTAGAACAGTCTACCACAGTGAGCGAAATAAAAGGTTAAGTTCGACATTCCAACCACCTGAAGAAGGCCGGTGCGTACAACGGCCGAAACGTTGTAATATGGCGACAAAGATGAGGACAATTGTCCGAATATTGTAAATAGTGTACATAATACCTCATCTCAGAAATGTAGACAGATACTGAAAGGCCGAAACGTTGTGATATATATGGCAACAAAGACGAGGACAATAGTCCGAATAATGTAAATAGTGTACATAATACCTCATCTCAGAAATATAGACAAAAACATGGAGATTTGAGTTAAAGGGAAATATCTGAGATATAAGGAAGAGGCATGGCATGTGGAACTAGAATAATAATAGAACAAAGGGTTCAGTTCGAAATTATAATCACCTGAAGAAAGCCGAAACGTCGTGAACATGACAATAAAAATGAGGACAACGGTCCGAATAATGTAAATTGAAAAATAAAGGTTTTATGCTATACTAAATGTAGTTGTTATTTAACTCCAAAATGATATTTAATTTTTAGAAATATAGATTGTAAGTTACCCTAAATGCTGTTATTTAACATTACTCAGAAAAATAATGATTGGTGTGAACGCAGACATAGCTCTAGAAATCAAGAACGGAAGATATGTTTACGTTGTTACTAGTACGTGTTGTTCAGCAGTATGCTTGAAAATTGCTGTGTAATTGTCTCTTAAATATTGCATTTTAATGCAAAATCAAGAAATAAAAATAGTCTTATCTCTATCAATAAAAGGCAGGATGAGTGTGTGTGTAACGAATGCACGGCCGCAATTTGCACCAAAATTTACATGCACGTGCTCCAAGTTAGCGGCAAGGCCAAGACTGACTTTGCATTTCCCAACTCCCATCGACAGTGGAAATAATCGATTTTTTCATGCTTCTACGGCAGTTTTCATGTAGTTTGCGGCCATTTTGTACTGGCCAGAGTGAGAGCCTATAGCTGGCTGCCACGAATAGGCACGAAGATTCTATTGGCCAGTGTGAGAGCCAACAGCTAACTGACACGAATGTTAACTAGCATGCAAAAAAATCGATAGCTGCATTCGTCACAAGTGGGAAAAATTTAAATCTGCATGGCACTTTACTCCAATTGGCTCATTCGCTTGCTTAAACTCAACGTTGATTCTGATTCCGCAGAACTGGGTTGGGTGTGAAAAAGTATTTGTTGTTAACATTCTTTTTTCATTCGGTTTTTCCAGTTACGAGTCCTTTTTTTTTAAAGCTGATCGTTTTGTGTTCATTTTGTTTAGTTCTTTTTTCTTAACAGATTTAATGTTTAGTATAGAGCTTAGAAAAAATTCGCAGTGTGAGATAGGCATCAAGTAAGGCATGTAGCAACATCAGCACGGCAAAGGGCACTCCTTTAAAGGCAAGGAAGGGCAAAAATATTTTAACTCAAGTGATAGCGATTGCTGTATGAGTCGTATGATTTTTGAATCAAGCACGGGCAATCCCGGGCCATGCTGCTAGTTTAATTTATAATTCTTTACATTTATAAGTGCAGTACAGCATTGTAATATGAACTGTTTCAGCTTGAAATATTTATGTCGGTAATTACCATAGCGAGGAAATTGTTAGCCTACCGTTATTTATGGTGCAATCATACGAGCCATACTTACCCGTGTTGATACAGCAGAGGATTTAAGCTTAGCTTTTTGTAATTGTTGTATTGGACGACCCCCTATTTAGGGCACTAATTTTTAAGATTTAAAGGTCACCATATTATACAGTATATAATCTTCCATATCTCAAAGTAACATCGTGTAAGCCAAACACATATACATCTAAATAATGGTCGGCTACTCTTGTTTACTGAGCACCCCCATCTGCTCAGGCATATTTGTGTTTGTTCAACCTGAGTAGATCATAGTTCCAGTTTCTGGGAGAAAGCGCATCATATGTCATAATCAGAAGTTTGAACAACACCAGTACGATCATACTCTCAGTTGTAACTTCGTGCTAGCACAACCACTGACGGATTACAGGACTACTTACCAATGCCGATACAAGATTTAAGGTTAGCTTTTTGTAACTGCTGTATTAGACGACCCCCTATTTCGGGGATTAATTTTTAAGATTTAAAGTTTGCCTTATACACGGATATATACGGAGAAAAATGGCGTGGTTTGGACATATTACAAGGCACGAAAGCGTGTGCAAGACACCGTTGAAGGTCGGCGTAGGAGTGGACGTCAACGCAAAAACTGGCTGGACAATGTCAAACGATGGACAGGTATGACTGTACCAGAACTGCTGATGGCTGCCATTGATAGACCGTTGGGGAAAAGAGTTTTGATTGGCTCCTGCATTCGGATCCGCCCTTCGATTACAAAAGTCAAGTCGATGATGATGATAGTGATGATGATGATGATGATGATAATACGGTGATTCGAGCTAGAAATGTAAAACTTAGTTATGTGCCATGCGTGATACACGCTTAGGCGATCATGTATCATTCGATACATGACTGACGAGGCAGATTTTTTTTTCCTGTAGTAGGTTATCATTTCTTTCTGCGGTAGACCAGTTGCCATCCAAGGCTATAGAACCCGGTCTGTCCTGCTATTTACAAATAGCTGGGGGTGGGGAGAAGAAGAGGATTCATACGTTTCCCAAGGGTATTAGCACATAAGTGAATGTAATGGATTCAAATGGAATTCGAACTATCGAGCCGCTATCCATTACTTATTCACAAAGAGAAAAATACTGAAATATTCCATTTTTTGAATCGTTGTTGCATTTAGTTGTTTGCTTATTTATTTTACATACAAAATTCTCTAACTTCCATAACCCACCCATATTAATTCGCTCAACTGTCAGGGGCCATCTCTCCAGGTAGTACGTGTTCTTCGGGAGGGAGGCTGGAGTCATTACCCGGCGCCCGAGGTGTGGCCTAAAGGGGAAATGCTGAAGGAGATTGAGCAGTTTTTGAAAGGCTTCTAAAATACCACATTAAAATCGACCTTGTGACACATTCTGTTACGACGTGGAGCTACAGATGAATACCTACTGTATTCTCTACTTTTGTTTGGCCCTTGGAATACAAAAGAACACCATTAACCCCGAAAAAAGAAAAAGTTTTACACATCTGATTAATATACTCTGCCGACGATATGAAAGAATGCATATAATCTCGTAATAAATGTCTTAACAGGTTTTGATTTCTTTCTTATTTGCTTTAATAAATAGCGAATGCTAGCAACAATTTTTGCCCACATAATCTTTTGATGATTTGAGTGGTGGTATTTTATTTTTTTAGCGGCCTATCAATCTCTATGGGTTATTTAGTGCCGAAATCTAAATATTTTGTACACAATTTTATACTTTCATGGTAAAGGTATGTTTAGATATATGATTTAAAGACGTGATGTAATGAAATAACCTGTCACTCCCATGAGTGACGACACTATAGGTAGTAACTACCTATAAGTATCTGTAAGTCAACGGACTACAGAGTCTAGTCGAAATCTTTTTCAGCTATACAGTCAAACTCGGGCAGAAGGGCAGAGTCTTGTTCGGGGAGGTAGACTGCCCCTGAACCCGTTTATGCGGGTTCAAAAAGGGAATATTTTTGGCCGAGCCTACGGGCTCTGAGATCCCACGCTAAAACGGCCTTGTGCCACATGCAACCCTCGTGGGCGGGGGGTAGCTGAATATTCTAGACGAAATATTTTTCGGCTACACAGTCGAACTCTCTGTCTCTGAGCAGAGAGGCACCCTGACGAGGCTCAGCTGATGGCAGTCTCTCGTTCGGGGAGGTTGATCAACCCGATCCCGTTATGCGGGTTCTAC